CCCACCCATTCACCCACCCACCCATCTCGGGCCGCCAAGCTATTCGTCCATAAAACCCAAACTTCTTAGCCAGTTTTAGGCTATTCTTTATTACCCTGTGACTCCTTTTTTTGTTTTTTAAGTCCGTCTTGGTTTATGCGAGTGGTCCGTGTCAAGTTTCCTACAACATTTCTTATTTTTGTGGACATGGCCCGCACCGCCCGCATCGCGGGCGCTTAGCTAGTTAAAATTAGGCACGGACCCCACAACCAGGGCCACAGGCTCGCAGAGGCTTGTGGAAAGGTGGAAGGATTGCCACAGAGTGGTTTTTCAGACCCCACAACCCGTAGAAAGTGGCCTGGAAAACATCGGATGGGCGTTTCCGCATCGTGCCAATGACAGAAAATCAAACGTGGCAGTTCAATTTCCAAAATTTTGTGCCAACTTTACATGGTAGGTCCCTTCGAGGCCTTCCATCGCGAACGGCCTCGGAGGGTCGGTTTTTCCGACAAGCATCCAGTGGACCGCATGGCCTGTCTCGGCAACACAGAGGCGGCCACCGTGGTCTGTCGCACAAGAGTCGTTGGGGACCGTGCAACGACGCGCGGTGGTCCCAATGGGCAGTCGGCCTCCCCGCCAATTTTTGAATTTTGGCCGGTGTTCGAATGGAGGGGCATCAGGCTGCTGCACTGTGTGAGTTCCTGTGGACAACAACGGCTTGCCCACTTACCCAGCCATCTCCATAGCTCTCAGCGGCCGTTCGGGGTTGAGTGTCTAGAGACAGGGTGTTCCTAGCAGGGTGTGTCGTAAGCAGCCAGTCTTCCTCCTAGCGATGCTACTCGCATGTATGAAGTGGGTGACGCGTTTGCCTGGCGGCCGTCTTGGCGAGCAGACAGGTGCAAGGTGGCTGTTTGCAACTTTGCGCACTCTCTTTTGTGTAGCAGTGGCGGGAAAACCATCTCCTATCGTGGTGGATCGATATGTGGAGTCGTGTTCGATGTTGAAAGTGTGAGAGGGGGTGTCGTTGGAAGTATATTGTCCACCCTCGTGCGCTTGCGGACGCGCTTGCTGACCCCCCATTTTGGCTTGGTTGTCGCCTCTGTCGGAGATGTGGAGCACGACAATGGGACAGCCATTGCTCCCAACAGTTCAAGGACCAACATTGTGAGGCCATTCATGCCTGTAAGGCAGGCAGGAGATGCCGGAATTGTTCCACGGCCACGTCCTTGTCCGAGGTCGGGCGCGTTGTTGTGTTGCTGCCGTGGTGAAGTTGAACGCCAGAACTCGTCTTCCAAGGCTTCCGACGGAGGGAGAGCATCCACCATCGTTGTTGTGGGAGTGGATTGGACGAGACGGTGTTGTGATCCCTATTTTGTGTGGGTTGCGGTCTTGTGTGTCCTTGTCACGCTGAGGTTGCTTGTCTTCGTGGTGTTAGCCATCATCTACTTGTTTGTGTTGTTTTCGATTTGTGTGTTATTGAGACTCGAGAGGCAAGTAGAGGGGGTGAGCCGGTTCGTGATCCTGTCATGGAAGGGGGGCAGTGAACACACAACCTCGGCAGCTCATACGAGGACGGGAGAGCCCCGCCACACGGGCCAAGGGATGACGGTGGCAGCTTCTCGTCACATTTGAGCCAAGGTCTGTCACAAATCAGCCAGGACACAGGGATGACAGCACGCGCACCTCCATCACCTTTTGCTATGGGTCGCTTGCCGAAATGGTTGAAGACCCCCATCCCCCCCAAAAGGATGGGGTTCACATTCCAGTCTTCATACCCGCCAGCTGCATCGTCGTTGTCCACCCCTCATGGTGGACATCAGCACTTCAGCAGCGTGGCGCCGCCGACGGTTGTTCCGCAGCCGCAGTCTACGCATCCACCATATGCCTCGCCCGTTTCCCTGCCAGCAGCACCGTCAATGGATGGAGCAAGGGAAGCACATGTGGAGTGGGCATGGACGCACTCGCATTCTGCCATGCCATCCACCAGTTACAATAGCAATGCCAGAGACATTCAGTGGGCAGTGTATGGGTAGAGGGGGACTGGCCATCGTCTGTCTAGCGAGGGAGTGTCGAGCATGAGGCCGCACGACAATCATGATCATGGGGGAGCATTGCTGCAGGAATCCGGTCGTCAACCGAGGACCGATTCTCCCACCTCTCGAGACATGCGAGACATTCCTGTGTCACCTCCCCTCATATCGTCAATCCATTCTCCGCGATGTGCGGTCGACATGGACGGTGGTGATGGCGATATGGACGGTCAGCAGCCAGCAATGGAAGGGGGCCATGCCCACACCTTCCCGCACAACATGTGGACAACGATAGGCCGAGCGTGGAAGAGGGGACGCGAGCGCCATTGCCGCGGGCAGAAAAGTAACAAGAAGACGAGGCCTTGGGTGTTGGAGGAGAAAGTCAACCCTGCCGAATGCATGACGGAGGACGACGCGCTTATGGCAGCCGTTGATGGCAGGCATAAATGTATGAAACGTTTAGAGAAACCAGTGGGTGTCGAAGAGGATGGGGGAGACGGGGTGGAAGAGATCCGTCGAGGACTGCAGGAAGAAATGGTCGGAGTTAACGAACAAGTTGAGGGTCATCAGAGACAAGTGTGGGGGATTGGGCAAACCCTCCTATTGGGAGATGACAGGGGAGCAGAGAAAGGAGGAGGGGATGTTCCCTGCCTTCGAACAGCCGGTGTGGGAGGCCATGGCTTGGTACTCCAAGTTGTCGTCGGTAAGGTGTGACAATACGCTCGCCTCAAGTGCTTTGCAGACAGGGGACGGAGGGAGCTCCGGTAGAGCTCCATCGAAAGGCAGAGGGACACCTCAAGGTGGAGGGACAACGCAAGCAGGGACGACAACGGCTGACAGGGCATCAGATGGTCGTCCGACATCGGCAGGGAGCGCGACATCAGATGGGCAAGGAACATCGCAAGGGGCAGGAACTTCTCGAGGAGGAGGGACGGACGAATCAGAGGGCACACGGAAGACACATCGCACATGTGGTGGGAAAGGTCGGGTTGGAGGAGAGAGTGGATCAACGGTTTTAACGATTGCCGAAGCAATGCACGTGTCCACGCGGGCGTACTGTGAAGGACTGGACGAGGCGTCGGAAAAGGCCGCTGGTGTGCTCGCAAAGGTGAGCACCGAAGGAGCGAATGTCATCGCTGGCAGGATGGATGACATCATCACTGACATGGCCACCCAGATTGGCGAGGTGGCGACTGCCATGCATAAGGGAAATGCAATGTTGGCGCTGCTGGTGGGTGTCATGGCACGGCGAGGGAGCAGCGGCGGCGGGCGATGAGGAGATAATGATCGTTTGTGGCCTTGGCATCGGTGCGGTTTTGGAGGTGAAGGTATATATATATATATATATATATCGTCAAATAGAACTGCCCGGTAAACCGTAGGCAGAGAGGGAGAAGAGGACAACAAATGAGGGGCTGTGACAAACTGTTTCGTCGGAGTTTCACCGACTCATCAGGAGGCTGAACCCTCAACA